TATCTATCTATCTATCTATCTATCTATAATTTTATACTTCAATAACTTGTAATTTGAAAATAGAGGCTGGGGTACTTACATATTCATAAACTTCACATTTCATATCATTACAGTACACAGAGGTTTCACATCACTTAAAGAAACTTTTTCTTTTACTGCAGTTCACTTATTACAAAAAGAAACAAAAGTGCACTCAATACTTGTCAAACTTAAGATTTTAAGATTGCACACGAGATTTTCATGGACTTCATTACAACAAAATGGCTCCATCTAGTGTTCACTCTCAGATTTTCTATAAGGCAGTTGATAGTCAGTAGTCTAAAATTAACTGAAGAGCAGCTTCATTTCATTCAGATTCGAGTTAATATTAATAGAAAATTCTGATTTGCATTTTCAGAAAGAGATAAAAAAAAAAGGAAGCGCTGTGAGGCTTGTACAACACGGCGCTCATCAGTAGGTCTAAACAATTAAAAAATAACAAAAAAAAAATTGCTAATGCACTCTGTTAGAGTTAAAATCTTTAATAAAAATCAGGGTCTAACAAGGCAGTTGTTTGTTTTAAGTGGTGACGAGCTAAAAAACCTTGGAAAGCAATCCTAAACAGGATTCATGCATTCTGAGTGATCAAGGTTTGCACGCCAGCCAGTAGAAATAATGCATAATCATCATGACTTCTGTCTTAGGAGAGGACACCTTCATTGCAGACATCAACCTGGGATAAAAGACAGAGAGACAGAATGGTTCATTATGATTTAGAGGAACTATTGGATGACAGATTATGTGAAGTTGTAAATTAACAGCAACCTCCAGAGGCTCTATCCTTCATTAAATTAGGCAAACATGCAGGTGAAACTCTTTAAAGAGACAGAACAAAGTGAAACTGTTTAAATCTTCCCAAACTTTAACAGTAATTAAATACAATGTCATACTTATATCCATGTAAAAGTTATGGCTCAGCAATTCTCCTCCATATATTGTGCTTGCTGAGCTATTCTCTCCTGTCACTGGCGGGGGAATTAATGGGGGCTATATTATCAAAGCAGTAAAAGCCTTCAACAGTTAAGCTTAGTCAAGCAATGTTTGGCTTTTCTGATTAATGCCCCAGACTGTGCCAGTATTCAAAGCTGTATTCTGGCAGGTTTGATAATCAGAAATAAATTAAGCTGGGAAGATTACAGGAATCAACGGTCAGCGCCAGGTGAAGGGAGGTGAGGGTTCAAGGCCAGGAGTTAACGACTAGACTGGTGAAGTTCAATGTCTCACTTGTTCCTGATATTGTCAGAGAGATGTTTGGCCTCGGCGGGGTCCTTATTCTTCAGTTTCTGGTAGCTGGAGAAGGTCTCCACCATGCCAATATATTGACTCAATGGCAGGGTTCTTTTCGTCTGCAGGCACTCGTTCCTGGACACATTTGGACTCATAAATAAGTATGTTCTGGTCAATGTAACTGAAGTTGACTTCTGGCAAAGCTTCTGAGAACTCACCACTCTTTGTCTGGGTAAGAGCAGGAGTTGAACATGTCTAGGTAGATCTTCTTAGAGGATTTTCCAATGTAGGGATCTCGGAATGGAAGCAGGGCACCATAAAACTGGTGGGACAAAGAAAGAAAGCAAAGACAAACTTTAAAGCTTTTTGGGGAAAGCATTCATTTATAGTGGCTGAAAACCTACATCAGTACTCTATTTCTGCACATGAGCTTTTAGATTTAGGATGAACCTCTTTGCATATGTCATTGAGAGTGCTGGAGATGTCTCCGTACTCAAGCTCCATGTCCATGGTGTAGCTAAGGAGAGCCAGGCAGCCTCCAGGCTTCAGCACCCTGTCAGCCTCCTTGAGGAACCGCTGGTGATCAAACCAATGAGCTGCTGTCATGGCACTCAAAAGGTCCACCTCTCCAGACGTAAATGGTAGCTCTTCTGCTGGACACTGCCTGATGTTAAGGTGAACAGAGTCAGGACAAGGAAAAAATAGGGCCCATTATAGATGGGAGAGATGAATAAGGGAAAAGCTTTGAATAACAAAGCATATTCTTGCTTTTGTGGATGATCTTATTTGGATTCTCTTCCATTTGTAGAGGAATAATATAATTCAATGCTGGTAATTTAGTTTAGGGCTCAAGTCTCCAAGGGCAGTGCAAACATGTCGCCACTTTTTTCTCTGGAGTTTTCTTTCAAAATTTAAAACCACTCATCCATTTGCAGCCCATCCAAGTCAGAAAGTGGGAGTGGAGCCCATCCCAGGTGTTGCAGGTTCAACACCCCCTGGACAGGTCACTAATCTCTTGCTAGGCAAACACATAGAGTAAGAGCCATTCACGCTTACTTTCCCACCTAAGGTCAATTTAGAATAATCAACTAATCTCACTCCATGTTTGTCTTTGGACCGTGAAGGGGAGAAAAGACCCGTGCCTGGATTCAAACCTAAGACCTTCTCATGATGCTAACCTCAGATCGGATGAAACAACCTGCTGAAGTAAGAACATCAATATGTGTCAATATCTGTCTGACAGGTGGGTGTGGGACTTATAGAAGACCACTTTGCCTGGTACTGATTGCGGGTCCAAGTGCTTCTGATCAAGGCCACGTCCCATGGATAATATGAGGCCACCGGTGACCCCTGTAACACTAGAATTTGATCTTCTATGATGGTTTTGTTTGAGAATGCTACCCAAAGTGGTAAGCTCTTTGCAAAGAATTTACAACCATGTTTATCTAAAGCTATCTTCATCTACAACAATCAAGGAATGATTGACATAATGTAGCCTTTACTTAAAGAACTGCCCCAAAAAACGAAATAATTACATAATGAAGATGCTGAAGAAAGCACAGAACCTTTGACACATTGGTTTATCTAAATCACAGCCTTTATTTTACATCCACCACATTTTGTTCCCCTTCACCTGTATGAGACATTTGGAGGGTTCTTATTGGCTTGCGCTGTCTCTATCTGGACGGGGCTGACGTCGGTTCCAATCACTTTGGTGAAGTATGGAGCCAAAAGGGTCGTCCCTTGCCCCGATCCACAGCCTACATCCAGTGCAAGGTTGAATGGTTTTGGTGTCTAAGAGAAATGCTGTGATTTTAGAGTACATTTAACTGCCTCAATGTAATAGAACATTAATAGATAGAGACACAGGATTTGTTCAAATGCTATCAAGCACATAAGCATAAACACATACCCTTTTCTCCATAAAGTTCATAACTGTGCTGACCAGCTCCTGGGGTGCCACTCTGTACTGCAGGTAAGCCGCTGCATGATCTTTCCCCTCAAAGAGCCGCACAGCCATGTTGCTCCAGCAGTGTGCCTGCAGACTGTATGCAATATGTGACTGAATACTATGACTCAGTACTTTGAGCTCGTCTTTATTTAACTACCGAGTTGAAGATTAACTGCCAGTGCTGTGCACTGTGCACCATGTGCTACGGCTCGCAATTAAACTATGCATGGGATCAATTCTTTTAAAATGTAGCATCGCAGTTAATGATCAACTATGTGGCACATGACGATGGGAATAACATGCATTACACAGGCAACAATAAGCTTAACTTTACACGTATATTACAAAAAATATTCAGGACTTTATATTCAAACATAGCATTTGTCTTATAGTTTTGGTCAAGAATGGAAAAGCATTTTTATTATTATTACTTCTACAGATTCAGTGCTGTGCATTCATACGTCTGCACCTTTAGGCAACAATCAGCAGATGGCAGTAAATGCTCACATAGATATGATGCTGTGTGCTGAAGAAGCAGACAGCTGCTGAAAATAATTTAAAAACAAAATTTTCATCAGTTGAACTTGAAAGAAGTCATCTCCTTGTTTATTCTTACACAGAGTTGTACATTGATATTATGACTATCTGGAGAAAATTAAAGTTTGATAAAAACTCTTATTATATATTTTATACTCAAAAATGTATCTGCTCCTGCAGATCGACTCCATATAATCTGTTCAACCTCACACTTTGGTTCCAAGAACATCCTGAAGTAATTTAAGTTGGAGGCTCTTCAAACAGCCTCAGCCTTGTATTTTCTTACCAATCAACAAACATTGATCCTTCCTGCTTCCCTGTTCAATATCTATTGTCAGATATGGTTTGCAATAAGGGTTGTGTTAAAAAAAAAAAGAGAGAGATGGCAGGGGTTGGAGTAAAGAGGAGACGGAGGAGGAGGTTCCGGTAAGGTGTCCAACTCTTACCCTCACCATGAGGCTGCGTGCAGCCCTGCAAATCAATCAACTCTGATCAAACCTGTCAGCTATATTCAATTTAAACTGGTCACTGCTCTCTCTCTCTCTCTCTCTCTGTGTGTGTGTGTGTGTGTGTGTGTGTGTGTGTGTGTGTGTGTGATGGCAACACAAAGTTGCCATCCATGTACGTGTTTCTGCTCAAACCAGTGTTGCACCAAGTCTTTATCACCATGTCTTATTACAGTGTCCCCACAAAAACACACACACGCACACACAGGAGTCATTAAAACACAAAGCCAGTGGAGTCAGACAAACAGCCTCACATATTGCTTTAATATCTGCAGGCAGTCCCGACACAGTAAAAAAGAGCTATGGGAGCGCTTCCATCGACTGTGACAAGCAGTGTTGCTAATGCTGCATGGGGAATTTCAACTGAAAAGCAATCACACAGGTAATCCACAGCAGGAGGAGAATTTATTACAGATACTTTATTTAAACGTGGCTTTCCCCCCCATGAAAGCAGGTGAAATGAAAAAGAAAATGTATATTTTTTGCACATTATATAGTGTAGAATTCCTAAATTTGTATCTGTTTTAAAAGGCAGGAATTATGGGCAAGGCGATAAGGGCTGATGAGTATGTACAGTATAAATCATAAAAATGCATTCAAACCAAAAAATAGATGTATGTGCAGTTGTAAATACCCACACACTCATTTCCTCTTTCTTCAGACAGCGTGAGTACAGAAACACACAGGGTAGGGGAATGGATAGATGGGGATTGAGTATAAAATCCCACTTCCCTGTGGAAATCTCAGCAGGTAGAAGCAGATTGCAGCTGTTGGATGGAATCCATGAATTTAGAAAACAGTCTGAAAGCCGTGATATTTTTGAGGGCGGGAAATTTTTGTCATGGCTTTTGAAGTATTTTCACAGACCCATGATTCCTTCAGCACACTATTATAAAGGAAGCATCATGGAAACCCCTAAATGAAAACAGTGACAGTCTCTGAGAGTGTAGTATTGAAGCCATTTGGAGATTAAATTTAGCACAAGTGTTAATAAGAGGGGATTTCCATTTAACTAAACTAAGAAAGGGTTCACCAGAAAAAATAGCCCTTATTTCAAATTGAGTTGCTACTAAATACTGACTAACATCTACCAAATGTATTGCATATTTATTGCAGAACTTTATTGCGCATATACCTAATTTTAGCCTGTTAGCTTGCTTCCCATTTAGCTTAAGTTGTTTAAATTTAAGATGGTTTATGGCCCATAAAATTGGCATCTGTTAACTCATAACCCAAGTTACATTTCACAAAAGAAGAAAGTTCATTGTAAGGTTTGTGACCTCTTTTTGAACCAAAATACTGAACCGGTTGTGTTAGCATAATCAGTTAGGTTAGCTTAATTGTGTATTTTCTAATCATTCTGAAACCTATGTCTGCATTAAAAAAAAATACTATTTAAGCTTATATATTATTTTATGGCAGTTTTAACCTAAATAATCATAAAAATCCATATAGCTAGCTATTGTTTAACATTAAAATTGGCATGAGAGTAACTATTAATCGTCTAAAGACCCTTAAAAATCCTCAATCTGATATTTCATGACTTTTACTAAAATGGTTTTGTTCATCATATAGTGCAGCGGTTCCCAAGCTTTTTTTGCTGGGCCCCCCTTGTTTTACAAGAAAAATGTTCGCGCCCCACTGAGTGAACACGCACGAACACATCCTGCAACCACACACACCCATATTTTGCTCCATTGCGGTTTATTTCACACCTCAAACATTTAGTAAACAATTAAGCAAATACAAGTAATCTGCAATAAATTACAGGTAGTAAGAAAATAAACTACTAACTCTTTTACGCTACGTCCACACCTACACGGGTATTTTTGAACACGCAGCTGTTTCGTCCACACGTAAACGAATCACCTAAAACTGAGATTTTTTAAAACTCCTTTTTTGCGTTTACGTGTGGACGAGGAATACAGAGCTCGTCATGCAATGTCAAAGGTATGTGCCTTTTTTCACGTCACGCGGTGCGCCAAGTTATTGTTTACATGAGATGAATTGCAGACTGGGCGATTAACAGACAAAATACTGTTAATCTGACTATCTGCAGGTTTTACACGCTTACATATACACGCACAGTTACTGTCCCTCCATTTACAAAGGCAGAGACGTCACGGTGTGATTATTTTACGTGTGTTTTTTTTTTTCCCTGTGTAATAATATTCAACATTGCTATCAATACATTTTTCAAAAGATGTCTCTCTGTGCAAAATAGGTAAACATAAACAGCTGTGGGATACTGTTTGTCCGTGATTTAGACAGGGGAACAAATCGTGGCAGGATCAGCCTGATGTTATTTGTATCTCACTGTAACTTTACTGTATAAAGTATAGTATAGTATGTATATCTCCAAAATGTCAGGAGTAGTTAGTCATTACAAGAAGTGTTTGTGAACTAAAAATCAAGAATGTGGGATACTGTTTGTCCGTGATTTAAACAGCCCAGCGCTGCTCCCGATGAAGGGAAAACCAATTCTGCAGGGGAGACCTACCTCGGCACTTGTGCAGGTGAAGCCAAAGGGAAGATTTGCTTCACCATATTTTCTAGTCTTTGGCTTAGAATGAAGTTGGCTTGGAAACATATTCAGCGATGCTTCATCTCCTGCTTTGTGTTTCTGTAGGCGCCCGTGCTAGCAGTGTCCAAGCGTTTTGTTTTTTCCCCCCCTTTTTCATCCCGCGCCCCCCCCTGGCATGGCTCTGCGCCCCTAGGTGGCGGGCCCCACACTTTGGGAAGGTCTGATATAGTGTATGTTGTTAAATGTGGAATAAACAAAATTGCATCACAACACAACTTATTATTAGCTAATACTAGAACTCCCAATAGAATCATTTTGACCCTATAGAAAGCAATGTTTGGAACCCTTACACACATTTTGACATGAAAACCACTGTAACTATACTATTAGACTATAGACCACTATTTTATTATTATGATCTGAATCGATGTGAATTGTAAAACCAGTAAAAACACCAGAAATTTAAACTGAAATTTAAATTCATATCTTGTTAACTCTTATAATGTAAAAACTTGAATGAAAATTAACAATTTAGCTTGAATTGTATAGATTATTAGCCTGTTTCACATTTAGCTCGATTAGCGTGAATATTGTTCAAAACTAAAATATCCTGTGAAATAAACTTTATTGATATCAATTTAGGTTAAATTTTACAAATTCACACCTTAAACTGAAGCTTTGTGTCCAAAATGACTCATTTGGTTGTCACAGTGAGTTAGGTTAGCTTATAATTCTAAATCATTCTGAAAATTATTTGCTCACATGGAAAGAGCATGTTTTTACAGTGGAATAATATGTAAGTTTACATAATGCCTACAGTTTGTATCTATCTAATTTTAAAATGTGTTTGGCATAAGACTAATTTGGAGGTACACTAGCTTTTGAGGTTGAATTTACACACAAACTTTCTCAGATTTAATGAATGTTTGGGGCAGCTCTGTAGGCTACTGGATTTTCCCAATTAAAGGCATGAAATCAACTGAAGAGAATAAAATGGAAGCCAAGTCTTTCCTTGTCTTTTTACTGGGCCACCAGGCATTGTGCCAAACAGCGCTTGCAATCTCTGGTAGGATATGAGGATCTTAAATCTTCACCCATTAAAACTTCACTGAGACACTCTGTTTTCTTAACAGCCACTTGTAAAGAAAACAAATATCGCAAGTATTGAGAAGACCTGGTTGACTCAGAGGCTCCATTTTTATAGCTGAGACGCTGGCTCCGAGATGCACTCGTACAGCTAATCCCACTCTCAGAGGAGAGCGGTAGGTATTGGCTTTGATGATAGAAATGGATTAAACAGATTACATTAAAGGCCAGTCTAATTGAACCAATCTATCCTGATTCTGCCGCTGTAAGATAAATGATGCGCAGGCCAGATAGTAGATATAGGTCGTGTGAGTGTGTGCTTGGCTCCAGGCTTCTCAATGGACGTTCATAGGCTCGCTTGAAAAACACAGCAAAAGCACTTTAGTCTTGTTGAAAGAGGTTGAAAGAGGGACCAC